CCCAGAGATCAGGGTCATCCCTGATCTCCCTTCCTTCCGCCGCGCCCTTAAGACTTGGTTATTCCAGCTTGCGGGACTGGCCTAGGGTAATTTTTAGAGGGGTTTTAATTATATTTTAATTGGACTACGCTTAAATATTTCTTTTTAATTAATTTTAACTTTGTAATTGTTATTTGTGTATTTTAATCGATTGTCAGCCACCCTGAGTCCGCAAGGAGAAGGGCGGGATATAAATTGAATTTAATAATAATAATAATAATAATAATAATAATAATAATAATAATAATAATAATAATAATGGCTGTACATGAAAAACAGAGGTGTATGGTGCAAGACTATATTGATGACTGAATGGGAAATACAGTGCCAATAACGATGATGATAAACATTAAATACTTCAAATCCATCACCTACTGCAGCTCTAAGAACTTTTTAAGTTTGGCATTGTTTGCAATGAGCTTTTATCCAGCTGGTAAGAGTTGCATATGAAGGCAAAGATACAGAAAATCAAGTAGCAGGTGCATGCCAGCCTTTTGTGTGGCACAGTGATGACTAATGGGAAATGAGCATCAACTGGCTGCTGAAGGCTACCATTGCCACATTTTGCAATAACTCGGCTCCTATCTACCCTCTATTACAAAAACAAGAAATAAAAGTATCATGTATGAAAATAAAAAATACAGGGAGAAAAGCCCTTTAAATATATTAATCTGTGATCGTATTTCCTTCTTAGTTGTTTGTTATCTCCTTTGAATAATGTGTAAATATGGTTTATCTCTGTGTGCCTATTAATGGCTGATTTGTCTGAATGTCAAGAATCAGACGTGATTGAATAGAAGAAAAATAAAAGGATGCTCAGTTTCCTAGTTGAAACTATGGCTGAGTTTGTCCATGTGTTATGAGTTTTCATTATTTCTTCTTACTGCTAATTGATGTTCATGGATGTACCCTTCTAGTCTTAGATCTGCAGAAGACTACAGTACATATATTTTCTTCTATTGGAACAGTAATATACATTCAATTCTATTAGGATATTACAGATAAACTTGGCATTCAGGATTATTAATCTCATCTAGGTGCACCCAGTACTTTTTATGGTGGTTACCTGGATTTTGCAGTCCAGTTATAGTTTCCACAAACAGTTTCGAAACTTCTTTCATTCTAATTCTTGGGAAATAAAAGCTGAACTAAAATGGATTATACCTTTAATTTCTTCCTTCTTTTGTTTCCAGCCTGGTCCACTGAGATACACACATGGAGGTGGGCAGAAGAATCTGATAAGATAAAAAAAAAGTTCTGTGTAATAAATAGTTAAACTAGGAAAGTTTATTTCAATTTTTATTTTTCTTGAGAAATACGGTAGATTTCAAAATATTTATTATTTTATAAATGATATGAAGAAAGTTCGTAGGAGAGCAGTGCACAGGAAATCACACCATAGTTTACCATAATGTATAAATTCAAAGTTATCATGTAGCAAAGAAAGAGATTAACATTTGTCTTCCTGATAATTTTATGTGGGGCTCTAAAGGTGCCCTTGATTTAACTAAAATATCTTCTGGGCTTGAAAAATTATTAGTAAGAATTGGAAAGTTCAGTCTGTTGAAAGAAGTCACCTCATATTTTCAATTGTTTTAGAAAACAGATTTACTCTTACTATTAGTGTTTTTCACTTTATAAATTAAAACAGATAAAGGATCTCATTATTTATGTAACATAATTATATATCCTTGAGATTGATTCTTGTAGATTATCCATAATTTCTGTATTCTTAACTTTTATGATTACCTCATATAGTTCATTGTTCAAAGAATAAAGTATGATAACTGTACAACTGTATCCACGACAGGCTTACCTATGTTTAGCAGTTACATGTTTTACTCAAACTAATTTTGGGGATTTGCACAACATATAAAGTAATGAATTTAAAATAGAGCTGGGTTCAATCAAAACACCAGATTAATAGCTGGCTTGTTCAGTGTGTATGTTTAATAGTAGTAATCGCCCTCAGAAATGAATTAAAGTGCAAAATGTCTATGTTTTTTTTCCATTTTTGATTCTAAGTTTTCTCCATGACCCTAATAGAATAACAGACTTGGAAGGGACTTTGGAGGTCTTCTAGTCCAACCCCCGGCCCAGGCAGAAAATCCTATACCATTTCAGACAAATGGTTGTCCAATCTCTTCTTAGAAACCTCCAGTGTTGCAGCACCCACAACTTCTGGAGGCAAGTCGTTCCATTGATTAACAATTCTAACTGTCAGGAAATTTCTCCTTAGTTCTAAGTGGTTCTCTCCTTTATTAATTTCCATCCATTGTCCTGCCTTTAGATGCTTTGGAGGTTGATCCCCAGATTTTCTCTGCCTTCTATTGTAATCCTATTACAGCTGCTGGGGTGGAAAAAGGACTAGGCTGAGAAGTATTGGCTGAATTCACAAAGCACTAAGTCAAAAATACATAGTGCAATATACAAACCCTGCCAATGACTTTTTCCTAAGTCACCTATTAAACTATATAACTCAGTGTAGATTTGTTCAAAGCCTAACCCTAACTCAATGTCAGGTTTTCAGATTAACCCTACATATATCCTGGAGATCTGCAGAAACATAGAAACAACACAAGATGAATAAATGCAAATTATTTTTAAATTTTTTGGATTGGACAGATTGCAATTACAATTGTAAATAAAAATAATTCTAATAGATAGATCTGGCTCCTTCTTTAGCCACAAATTGTGTTCAGAAATTCTTTTGTTTCTTTGTGCACAATTACTTTTTATTATGTAAAATTTGTTTTCCTTTTCTAATGTTTACAGTTTCAGACATCTGTACAAAGCAGACATGTTGATGAACTTCTCAGCATGGCTCTATGGAAGATGCTGATACTTATATGGGATAAAACGTTCATTTTATATCTAAGTAGAAATAAATCTTATTCCTGTGATTTTGTTTTCTAGCCTGGAATATGGAATCCTAAACTGATTAAGAACAGAAATTACATTCCCAGACAAAACCTTAAACTAGCACAAATCACAGATTTCAAGTTTTGAAAGCATGTTTTCTTGAGTGGTATTTGACTCTTCAAATTCATGTGAATAGCTGAGATTCATACCACATTGGTACTGCATAAAACATTAGTAACAACAATGATCATGATAATAAAAAACCTTAATGAGTAGTTTCATATTCCAGTGCAACAGTAGTATCTTTGAGGTTACTAATTACAGAGTACTATAGAGCCCATACTATTTCACACTATTCCATACTATTTCGAGCTTTGCTTGACAGTGGAAAATGTTAATTTCTTCTCTGGGAAAAAAGTGAAACAAATCAATTTTCTGTGCTAGGCAACTTTCAAATCATGCCAATTTGTTGAAATAGATGTCAGCATGAAATTGTTTAAGGATCTGGCTTGCTTGCAAAGGGAGAAATGTGAAAGATTGATTCAAACACTGCTGCCTGTGGGCTGCCACGATCTATATTCCTTTCTGAAACATCCTGCAGCTTTTGCAGAGAAAAGAGGTGAATAGTGGGATGTCAAGCTATCTCTGCCAAGGAGGCTATCCTCTTCCATGTTTGATGACCCAAGAGATAGGACATCCTGGCCAGGTCAGTAATGATAAACTTTTTAAACTGCATGAGGGCAAAAGTCACTGTCAATGTATTCAGACTATGGTCACCTCTGATCCAAACTGTCTCCCAAAACAAGGGAAATCACAGTTTATATTTAGAAAATTGGCAAGCCTCCCACTAGAAAATTAGGGTGATCCAGAGCCTCTGGATTATTCATTCATATCATGATAAATGCATTTGCAAGAGTGGGAACAGGCACCTCTCCAGGTTTGGACTAGCTATCAGCAGCTCCCTAATGAATTATTTAGGAATGAGTAGCAGTTGCAAAAAGTTTTGTCTTCCTAATTAGGAAATTAGAAAGCAATCCAGAAGGATCTATGATAACGCAGAAGACTTTGAGAAAGGTTTCCATTTTCTAGTGATGGGACATTTGCCAACTAGATGAGGAGAACATGCATGTGAGTGTACAACTTCAAGATGAGATGCTTCTTTCTATCTGGCCGTCAATGAATAGCCCTAATTGGAAATAAAAATCACCCCTGTGTCTGGAAGCGTTTTCCTTTCCTCAGTTCAATGGATGCTTGCCAGTTGAATGGGAAACATGGGTCTCTTGCTGTTACTTTTAGAAAGACCAGTAAGTGCCACTCTAAAAAAGAAAGTGCCAAATTCTCATAGATGAATAGAAGCATTGATAACTGTTAATGAGATCTGATACTCCTCAAGGCCAAAGTATGTAAGACTCTGGATTGGGTTAGCATCACATAACCAAATAGTGTCAGACAAGAACATAAAGGGGAGAATATAATATTTCTCTGTTATGGCACCTTGGTTAGTGACAAACTGCTTGCTTCCCCTTATTCCCTTATAGGTTTCCTAGATAGGATAGTGACAGGAAAATTAATTAGTGTGTGAGAAAGAGTATACTAAGTTACAAATTAATAGCCAAATTCTGCCCCTCAGAAATTTTTATTAGATGTTTTGGAAGAATAATATAAACAGCGACAGATGAAAGAAAAAGGAAAAAAGAATAAAATACAAATAAAAAATGTCTAAACTGTAGTATAGATAATAGGTTTCTGATATATCATTAATTGTTTATGAATTATAGAACATATTGAATTGCTTTAAAAGATTAAACATTGCTGTTAAGCTTTAAACTGAGAAGACATATCATGGACCATGGTCAACACAGTGCAGTAAAAATAACTGACTGAAATGATAAGCTATACTGAATCAATATTGAGAATCTATTCTAATTGGAATATCCTATGATATTAAAATATTGACTCTATATATAGAAAAACCCAAATTATGAATGAGGTACACATCCATGTACTAAGATATAGTCCAGGAATGTTCCAGTTAGAATTGCCCCAGGGCCCAAATTGTAAACAATGACTCTGAGCATCTATCACTATTTATGAAGCTGACTGACCTTTTGGAAATAGAATTTTAGCACCTTCCAGAGGACCACTATATGGGCAAACCAGACATTTATAGAAAACAATGGACTATCAAAAGATCCATAGTATACTTCACATAGTATGCACTCATATGCAAAGAAGTTCAGTTATGCTATCTAAACTACTGCATAAATTTCCAGTGATATCTACTTTTAACAGAAAGTTCAAATTGTTTCCTACCTTTTTTCATTCCCATATGATTTCTGAGCAACTTTTGCATGAAGTATCAGCACTGTCTGATCAAATGGGAGCTGAAGATATCTATGCACAGCATCTTGGAGAGGATCCATTTGCTCTGGATTGGACCTATATGGAAGATAATCAACAGTACATATTTCGTATTTAGGAAGAATAAAGAACAGTACTAAGAAAATGAAAATAAAATAAAAAAAGAACTAGAAAAAACTCACTAGTAAACATAGTTATACTCTTTCTCTAATCAAACAAGTTAATTTTGCCATTTCTGTTAGTTTTGTTCTCTTTATGAAGTAATTCGCTGATGTGGGTATTTCAGAGTCTTTCCAGTTGGGGCCATATAATACAGGTAGTCCTCAACTTAGAACCAGGGGCAGCACGGTGGCTCAATGGTTAAGATGCTGGGCTTGTTGTCTGGGAAGACAGCAGCCCAGGTTCGAGACCTGAGTGCCACGTGACGGGATGAGCTCCCGTCCTTGCCTCAGCTCCTGCCAGTCTAGCAGCTTGAAAGCATGCAAATGTAAGTAGATAAATAGGTACCACTTTGGTGGGAAGGTAACAGTGCTCCATGATGTCATGCTGGCCACATGACCATGGAAATGTCTTCAGATAGTGATGGCTCAATGACCTTGAAACAAAGATGAGTACTACCCCCTTTAGTTGGCAACAACTAGTGGAGTAAAATCCACAGGGACTCCCAACTTACAACCATTCATTTAGAAATGAAAATTCTGATCCCAATTGTGGTTATAAGTTGAAGACTATCTGTAGTCTTTCAGCATGAATCATATATAAACATAATTTTTCATGGGTTTTTTTCAGTTGGCTGTCCATTAATCCCGGCGAGAAAAGTTCTGGTTTCAGTTGAATGTTAATCTTTAAACTTTATATCATTATATGTATTTGGACCCTAAAATGTCTGTTTTTATAGGTTTACAGACATGATAAAATGTCACTTTATGTTGTCCACATTTACAACATAAATTTGAAGTACCTTTACACATTCTAGACAATTTTTCTAGAGTCAATAGGGAGGAAGTATCACATTATATACTTAAAAGTATGCACACTTACTCAGAAACTCAGGTGGATCAATTTGGGGATAAATGCAAGCATCTGCATTAACATAAGTAGCTGAACAAATAAAAGTAATTTCATTATTAGTATCCATTATCACCTGCCCAACCAAGAAAAAAGGTGGAGTATTCTTTCAAAGATCAAATTGCAGGGCTTTCAGAGAGGCACAAAATAGTAATTGAGAACTTCAATTATCTAACATCTGTTGGGAAGCAAATAATAGTCTTATTGGTTATGCTTATAACACATTTGAATAAATCCTCTCATTCTTCTCTTTAGTCTGTACCATCACTATTAATGTTTGTAATAATAAACGAGAAAAACAATTCCTGTCCGGACATTAGTTAGTATGCATAAAAATCTAAGAAGATGTAAATAAATGTTCAATTATACCAAATCAAAATTTGATGAACATGTTTAATCATTGATATTTCCAGTTGACCAGTCTTCAATACCACTTGCTTCTGCACAAGCACAAACACAGAAAATCAAGGCAAATTAAAGGATGGACAATTCTTGTGTGCCAAGAACATTTTATGCAATTAAACATATCAGGACAGAAAGCAATGGAATGTGATTAGTGTTGCTGCACAGGCAACTCAAGAGCATTCAAGATGAGGTACAAGGATAATGTGTTCCAAGAAGCTTTTTGGATTTTTAGGCATCATGTGTATTTTGCAAATTTGAGTCTCAATCTCTTCATGTTTCTATGCATGATTTTTCCTGTTTATTCTTAGTTCAATAACTGAAAATTAAAGACAACCAAATGTATCACACCAATAAAACTGAATTGCTAGGAACTTTAAAGATAGCACAATGGAGCCTTAACTATGGTCATTGTAAGAGCTTATCATAATGGAGAGTTGAATTATGTAGATTAGGAGAAAGTAATCTCTGGGAGTCAGTTTTGACAATACAAAAAGTGTATTCTCTATAGAGGAAACCTTACCATTTACACAATATTTAGAACTGTAGGCTTTATCACACATCATGCATTTATCAGATGACAAATTGCTGAGATCACCCCCCTACACCTATTTCAGCTATTTTTTTTCTATCAGCATTTCCCATCTCTACCAACACGATGTTTCCTGAGTTTTTTCATGCCCTTCCTTTCACCCATCTCTATTGTTGATATCAATTTCTCTCCAGGCTTCCAGCAAGGGACTACAGAGGAGAGCAGAGTTCCACAATTTTATATGGGAAAGAAGGCATGACTATATCACCACTATTTCAGTAGTAGTAGTATAGTAGAAGAAAATAGAGCATATTCATGCAATTCTGAAATTGTGTCAGCAGGAACTGTATCTTCCCGATATAGCATTATTTTCAGAATGTGGCTCAACCACTCTTACTCATTTCAGCTTCCTAAAAACAATTCGGGATGTCACTATGATTTATTTTTTTATTTATTCAATTTCTACAGCTTACCATCTTACTTACAATTGGACAGCTTACAATTCAATTTGTTGCTTATGTGCTAGTTTCCCTAGCCCTCCTCTTCTCCCCTCCAAGAGACATATTTGTCCAACACTTAGTCAGTTTCAATTGGTATCACTGCACTTTTACAGGGCAAATCATGGCTAGACCTTTCTTCCTAGGGTTCAGAGAGATTACTGGTCCATAGTCATCCAGCAGGCTTCCATGCCATAAGTAAAACTACAATCCAGATTTCCATGCTC